AGCTGATATTTACCACGCAACTCTGTGAGAAAGTAGAGGCCTAAGATGCTCCAGATAAATGGCTCAATTAATTGTACAGAGGTAGACCTCTTTGAGCTGAGCCAGAGCTGTGAGCTCTTTATTAAAAGCACTATTCTGTAGCCCATAACCTTGTTCCTTGACTCCTCTCTGGTTTCCAATTTAAACAAGTCCCCATGCGGCCTGCTCTAAAGGGCTTTGTCTCCCTGTCATTGTTAAGAGAGCTGAGGCATCCTGGAAGTGTGAAATCAGACCTCATGAGTTGAACGGTTCCCCAGGGAACGCCGGACTGCATAGAAGGTCAAAGTCATGGGCCGGACCATCTAAAAGTGTCTGATCGCCGGTCTGTGACACAGCAAGTTGGAGGGGGGAGGCTAGACTGAGAGGACTGAAATTGAACACATCTTAATTAAAGCCCACAGACAGCAAAACAAAATGTTTTCTAGGCAGCTTGTCAAATGGGGCTTAAATTTAGCTCTGCTAATGAATCTGAACTACTAACTGTTATTTCTTAAGATAATAAGACTCTCAAGGAAGCTGATAAAAAAAAAAAAAAACTGTAGCATGCCTTTTTCTGCTGTTTTGTTACTTAAATATTTTCTGACAATAAAGACAGTTTTCCTAAAGAAAAACATGGGAAAAACCTCTGCAAATAAAGGGGTAGTAAACATCTCTCTTAATAACTAGCAGGTTTCCAGACTATGGGAATGGTGAGTCACAAATCTATATGCAGAGCTTTGCTTTAGAAAAAGATGTGCTCATTTAAATGGGACTATTTTGGTGACAGATTATGTTAATTTCAAAATTCCCCTCTCTTCCTTTTTCTCTCCCTCTTTTGTTTCCTGAGATGACATATCAATTTGAGATATCAATTCACCTGGGGTGCAGAAGTTTCACGTTAGTGTAACTTTTAACACAGTGAAAAAGGTAGGGCATCTTTTGAAAGGGTTTCAAGTGCTCCCATATCACTGTTTCAGAAACTGAGTGGCTGGTATCTCTGGGGAGGCTGTGACCTCTTCCTTGGGAGCTCAAAAAAAAAAAAAAAACTACTCTGGAAAATGTAGGGGAGGGGCTAAGGAGAAGAACTCTTTTCTCTTCTCTTAGAACTTGAAAGAACCAATAGGCCAGGTCTAAGTACTCTGCAAAGAAAGCCTCACTCAGTACGGAAGACTTTAAATGTTCTGCTGAAGCAGAAATTTGGCCCTGTCTAAGGAAAAGAATAATTAGAAGCTAGGGAAGACAAATCTCAACATGAACTGTTTCCTATCACCAAAAAAATAAAAAATAAAAATTTTGCCTCCATTGTTCTTTCTCTTCTCACAATCTATCCAGTTTTAGAAGCACTTGGTTTAGCGGTAGAGAGAATCTTCCCCAGTGAACACAGGGCCAGACAGTCTTTGATGGCATAGAGACATTAACCTTTTCACTGGTTAGTTGAAAGGTAAGTAAGTTGTACTGCACAGTATTTTTCAGTTAATCAAGCTTTTTCCCTCATGAAGAATTTTGCTGGCCAATTTTGAAAACTAGAGTGCCAGTTTCTAAGGCTGTGAAAGGCTCCCCACAATTTGACTGAAATTTCAATCCACTCTTGTGCTTTGCTCAATGCATGTGTATGTGTGGGAGTTGTAAATTGAGGCCTTAACCACCGAGTTAATCTCTTTTTAAAATCTGTATTAACCTTAATGATTTGAAGTGCACTGTCCAACACTGGGCTATTGAAACTGAAGAAAAAACTACCCTCAACTATCAACAGTTTATTAGGGGCTTAACTGAAGTGACCTACTGTAGTAGTGTTCAGCTGAACAAGCCTATAGGCTTTTTGTGGAAAGGGAAAGAATTGAGGGTTTCATTAAAAAGTAATTTGTGCTTTATACTCACTCATTCAAAGAGAGTCTCAATTGCTCTTTATTCACACAGAGTTAATACAGTATCACAATGTTTCTCAATGAATGTGTTGTAACAAAAGAAAAATTTTACATTTTGAAAGGAAAAAATTCTTTGTAACTGCAGTAAGATTGATGCTACTTAAAAGATTACAGAATCTCTTTTTCCTGTGTTCATGTTTAAATGATGAAATACTATAATTTAAAATTATTTGCTTAAACTATGGAAATTTAACTTTATGTTCTGATCATTAAAAATATTTTAAAAATAGAGCAAAGTTGGTCAAAAATAAGTTTGTCTTCTTAGGCTTGTATAGAAAAAAAGTATTCTGAAGCCGACCAAGCAACTTATAGTATCATTTATATCAGGTGGGAAAATATTCTTCACTTAACACAGAGAGTTATCGGTGATTTAAAGTCTCTCCTCTCCACCCACAATACTTCTAAATGGATGCTAATTTGAAGATTGATGACAGCATCATTGACTCATTTACCTTTCCCCCACCAAATTGTTGCTGAATATCTTGTAGAATCTGACTGTGATTATCTCTAAGATGTACAACATATTTTAAAAGTATTTCTTTGAACGAGTAAGAGATAAAGTATACAAAGAGCTTATTTGTGCCCCAAATTTAATGATAAAGACCAGGAAGGGTCAGTATACATATAAATATTTATGTTTTCAGAAGTAAAAATTATTTTAAAAATTGGTAGTATATTCAGATATTGCTGACTTAAATATATACTCATCATTTTCTGCCACTATCACAAATGTCATGAAGACCACAAAAGGTCCAAGAGTGAGCAAGGCCAAAGACTGAATTATCCTCTTGCCCCTGAATAGTTCAACATCTCTCTTGATCAATTCAGAGCATATTAGATTATAAGGTCAGTGTGGAATGAGGAAGCACCAGATTTACATCCCTAAAACTAGAAAGAAAGAATGGAGAATCTGCTATTTAGTATTCCCTGAACTAAAGTTCATCAGATCAAAATTACGTCTCATTGAATCTCTAGGGAAAAGGCTATTGTTATTCACATTAATTTACATATTAAGAAATTACAACCATTGGAAAGAAATATATCTGTTTTCTTCAGCTTTAAAAGAACATGTACTTTAACTTCCACAGTGGCATATAGGCCAACTAGGTTAATATAGTTTGCATATTCATGCGGTTTTAAAAGTAATAACAGCTTCTCTACAAGAAACAAACTTATATAATAACATTCAATTTATGTAATGGACAAGTATCCAAGCTTCTGAAGTAAATAGGACTTGAATTTTTCTATAAGAAATAATTGTGCCCACTATAAATGTCCAGTGATACTTCTGAGCACTTAGGTGCCCCATGAGATACTGATTATTTTAGGCTTTTGTCCCTTTCTTCAGATGTTTTCAGTTTAACACTGGGCGCTCCCTTCTCTTACAGGAAATCCTGAAGAAAAGTGGAGGTGTCTCCCAAGAGTGAATGTCACTGCCGTGAATTCTTTAATCTACCTGCTGCTAGGAATGACAGGATAGGTGTAGTCTCTGATAGTATCTATCAATTTTATAGATACTCCAGACCTCAAGTTAATGTCCAAAGTGAACAACAATGAAAAGTGGTTAATCATTTATTGTTGACTATAGGTTCTAATAATAAATGCAGCATAATAATAATAAATTGTTGTGTCAAGATTAATCTGATTATAACCACCCCAGAAATAAAAAAGAAAATGAAAAAAGAAAATGAACTTAACATTCACTAATTGTTTAGTACAAGGAGCCAAGTCAGCATATATCCTGAAAGATTACAAACTACCTTCTCTCCCACTATCTTCAGGTATACCTATTTTGAAAGAATACTTGATATTTATTATATTCTTGGTTATAAATGAGTTGATAATTACCTCCTTAAAGAAACCGTCAAGTCTCAATATTCATTTTTGTCACACAATAGTCACTTGATACTATGCAAATATTAAAATTTTAAAAATATTGCTATGTTGGAGCAGCCATCTGCTATTTTGATTTTAAGGCATGTGACCTTTTAATTTGGTTTTGACTGGATGAATTAAAAAAGGGTACCAGTGATCACGAAATGGATTTGCAAGCCCTTACGTGAGGAAAAGTACACTTGTTCTCTTCAAATAAGTCAGCTAACTTTTTTGGGTCAACTTGCTAAGCACTCACAATGATAAGCACATTTCCACAAATAATACATGGACACTTTCCTTTAGAAACAGTGAAATTTGCACATATTGGTTAGGTCAGTCCTGTTATGGATCTTGAGATGGACAATTTAAGAAATGGTGAAAACATCCCCCAAATGCAATGGAATTAAACAATAAGTGAATGGTCACATAGTTACAAATTTAAAACAATGATTTAATTCTGGAAATTGATGAAATAATTACCATTAGCCAATTAATTAACATGTTATAGAAACAGTGATACCCAAATCAAAAAGGTTAAAGAGGTAAGACTAATTTTGGCATTTTTACAGGTCTATTTCTTTTTTAAAAAAATTTAGAACAACGTGCATGCTTAATTTGGATCTAAAATTATCTCTGGGATGTGCTAAGGAATTTGAAAAACTAAGGAACTGGATCAGCAACCCAAATGTCAAGAGTTCATACCAAGTATTTGAGTATTGTGCATCTAAACTTTTCAATGAACTATGCAACAGATTACATGCATGTGTGAATTATAAGTGTTGAAGCTATGATACCACCTGAGAGCAACTGATTCCATTTGAGAAGATACAGCATTACTCCAAAATGCCCAAATGACAAAACCAAAAAGAAAAATTCCCATTATGTTGACTGAACCTTGGAGAAGGCAACAATTCAAGTTATTTTATTTTTTATTATTTATTTTTAATATAGTACCCTTCTTTTTTTTAAAAAAAAAAAAAAGCAGAAACAATATAAAAATTGGATAATGGCAAATCTTTGTAAGATCAACCATGAAACTTATATTTATATAATTTACTTTGATAATTTAGTCAGGTGAAATGAAGAGTTCAGTCATTAAATGGTGTGTATCTTGCATGCTGTTTGATATATCAATATATCTAGATAGATAGAAAGATAGATGGTTATTGTATCATTACTTACCTGTGACATCGGCAGCCATTAATCCTTCTGCTCTGATTACTTTCACCTGGAGAAATCCTACATCTTTCAGGTTGTGAAATATCCGCAATGGGCTCTAAAAGACCCAAACATCAGTATTAGAAAAGAAAGGTCCTAAAGGGTCTTAAAGAGTGTGCTGAAAAACACTAAGTTTTTATGGTTGATCTCAGGATGCTGTTTAAGTGATTCAAAGGATATTTGTGTTTCTTCAATACAGATTATCCTTCCACCATCATGAATGTGTACACACACACACACACACAATTTATGTAGATAATCGTTGCTATGTAAGTAGGTTTTTTTGAAAGAATAAAAAAATACCACAAATCCCATAAATAATTATCAGTAGGTGGTGAATAGAATGTCTACTTTTTTCCTTCAATCACCTTTACAAAGCACTACAAGAAAGCTTTCATCTATGAGTATGATGGTTTGGAGACTCATGATTCTTAACATTAAAACGTAAGTTGTTGCTTATATAATTCTTCAGACTTTGGGAAAGTCAACGTTAATTTTTTTTTTCTACTATTTTCTCTTGGTGAGCATGGGAAATTGCATGTGCTAGATAAAAGTTACATTATTAAGACTATTTTCTATATTTAAAATACTTATGTAGTTCTAGAAACCTTTTAGATAAAAGACATAACATCTTCTAAAATAAATCAAATTAATCATTAAAAATAAATTCAAAAGTGATGAGTAATTTTTCCTAAATTTGTAATTTTATTTACCATTATAGTATGTATAGAAGTAGAAGTAGAGAAATTTTGATAAACAAAATCAGATCCAAATGATAAAACTTATTTAATTTCATAAATTGATAAAATAGTAGTGTTTTAATAATGTAGTACTGGAAGGAATTAAAAGAGAGATACCAATACAATAATTCAAAGCTCCAATTAATGGGTGCAAATACTTACAGAGTAAAATGAACCCATAGAACTTTATGCATTTTTTAATTTATAAATCATAGCATTTTTCTTATGACAAGATCAGCATTTCTACTCAGTAAATCAAAAGTACTTCTTTATCATAATCTGTAAAATGCTTTAAGACCATGGAGCATAACGTGCTTCTGCATAATAAAGTTATCTATTAAAATATTATTAAAGAACATCCCCATCCTCGTATTATTAAGCATGTGAGAATACTGAGGAGCAAAAGCTTATGGCGATATTAACTTTATCCGTCCCATAAGACTAGTCATTGTTTACACTGAAGCTATGACCTTGGTATATTGAGAGGAAGAAATGCAGATATATGTGTAATCTCATAACCTAACTTTAAAAAAAAGTGTTTAGAGCAAGGATTAGCTCTTAATCTTTTATTGTTTTTAAACAGTTGTTTATCACCAAAAATCTGTTTAAACTATCCAGATAATAGGATTCAGTAAAAATGCACTTCTCTCTCCATTTAAATTCCTGTAAATTAAAGGTTTAACAGAGAGAACTTTAGACAGCAGTATTAGAATTCAGAGGTTTGTAGGCATGTTGACTCCCTAATGATCAGGTGTGGGAAGCTTCATATCGCAGAGCTTTCTGAGTGCTATAAACCAGGTAAGTCTCCTATTCTAATGACAGAGAGGAGTTTTCTGAAAAGGGTTCTGTTCTTTAATTTTCAAGAGCAATATACACCAAGTTTCATTGTGGCAAAAACAAATATCATCAGTCCTCATGTCTGAGAATCATTTCATATTGCTAACTCACTGCACAGAAATATAGCTTCCGGTGCTTCAGCCTTGGTGTTCTGCTTCCTATTTGGAGGGGTAATTATTGTTTGAAGGTTTCATTTCCTCGAATCAGCTGACACTCAGTCATTTATTGCGAACTTCAACTGTTTAAGCCAGTGACACATCAATTATAAGAATTCCCAAAAAGCAAGAAACTTATATCGGTTAAAAGATATATAACTTTAAGTAATTCTTCATCAAGAGGCATTCCCACCTTGTTATTTATGGTTATTTTAGAAGGCTTCAAAACCTGGGTGGCTTCTGAAGCCAGAAATTTCCATAGCAGAGGAATCTATGATTTGCTGTGAATCCTTTCAGCCCTCAATAGATGGGAAAAGATTGAAATGCTCTGGAGAGGAGTCCTCTTTATTTTTTTTAATGAAAGGCTGTATAATATATTTTCTCTATGGCTGCAGCAGCTGTCAGGGAGAGCATCTCAGTTCAGCTCTATTACAGGAGAGGCAATACCCCATCCGATGGCACCGAGATGCTCTGAGGGGCCAGAGCTGATTGACAGCTTGTCACCATGACGTCTTATTCCATCTCTGTTATGGAGAAAATTAATGTCACACCACCAGCCTTATGACTCGCTGTCATCTTAGAACCGCTCACCTTTTATCAATGCTCTAAATAACATTTCAAGCCCATCGTCTCACGGTGGACAATCCGGTCAAGGGACATTAAATCAGATGACTGTGAAATGTCATAATAAAAATGGAATGCTAACAACTTCTTCTCTAAACTAGCTCCTCTGGTTTTTAAACTGTGACAAGGGGGAGCAGAGGTTCACCATACCCGTTCTGAAAAGGTCATACAATCGCTCTTGGTCTACTACCCATTACTACCCGCCCCCTATTGACCTTCCCTGCTTTCCTCCCCACAAGAGAAGAAAAAAAAAGAAAAATGGAATTAGCCATCTTTTCAGAATGTGGTGATCAAATAATGGCTCACACAGTAATGTCTGTTTAATTTGTGGGGCTTCAATGCTTCGCAATGAACAGCTGAACGGCAGCAATGGAGAGCCTTTTCAGGCCTCTTTCCATGAGAGCGGGGCAACTCATTCACTTTCCTCACCAAATTCTTAAGTTTAACCTAAACTTTAAAAAATACACATGTTCTCACAGGTAACATATATAAATAATTTTCCAAATAACCTCCTTTATGTGTTCCTGCAAAACAAGTGAGATTTCAGACATGATACAGCAATTATTTCATAATCTATATAATAAAAAGTAAATACACTGAAGCCTTAAAATATAGGTCTTTGTCCTTGTATTGCTATGAGTAATTATAACACGTGTGCAATATTGCCTACAGTAGCTTCTTAGCAAGTTTGTCTGTAGAGGGAGATACAGGCCTATGCTTAAAATTCAGGGCTAATAAAAAAGTATACTTAAATATGGTTCAGTTTTAAATATATTGAGCAAAATATAATCTGAGAATTAGCTGGGACATCCACATAATATTTTACATTTTATTGAAATAATAACTAATATTTTGAAAAAAGGTATGGAAACAAATATTGAAATTCTAAATGAAAATGGCTAGGGAAAGGAAGCCGATCCAGAAAAAAGAAAAAAAGAATCAATAATAGTTGAATAACTTCTAATTACCTAGCCTGCAGTATCATTCTAACATATGGGATAGTATCAAATATTAATTCATGAAAGACAGTATTATATTACCAAGAGTAATTTTTATATTAATATACTAATTAATTCCTTTAAATTGTTCTAATTCATGAGGCTCATTTCTGGTAACAGGAGACTATGTTTTGGTAGGTACCGAAATGTGAAATAATTTTCATAATTGCAATTATATATTAGAAGATGCCACACAATATCTTAGGCTTTTAGGTAGTTTAAAAATATATACTATTTAGCCTTGCTAAGTCACCTCTATTAAACTGTTTATGATAACACCATTGGTGGATGAGTTGTACAAGCATTAGCAGACAGCTGATTCAGTGGAGATAGCCAGAATAAATTTGCTGAAGCGCACATCCTGCTAATCTGTTTGAAGAATATTGTAGAGCATTAGTACCAGCACTTTATGTTATCTGCGCAGCCTGATAAGGTACATCTTTATTAAATTCAGTTATTGAAAGGATGTCAGTCAGCAAATAGGAATATTTAAAATCTAAAAAAAAAAAAAAAATTAAGCAGTTCTTTGTTACTCAGAGCTTGGTTTCATAGCTGAGTGTCTAGAGGAGCCTTCTAAACACCTGGCAGCATCGTACAATACAAGCTTTGTGATTTTAAGTGGGTGCGCTTTTTCCCTAGATTCACGGGTACTGAGGCATTCACTTTTTCCGAGCCTCTATTGAGAGAGAATGGTGGAGTAAGAGCTCCCCTCTCTGTTGGTTCAAGAAAACTACATGGTGGGAAATGCATAGTGTGAGGATGCTGGGAAATAGGTAGATTTGTTTGTGAATATTTTGGTTTGGCAAAAATTGAGAAAGGCACTTATTTTAGTGACTCACTATTCCACTCCATCACTCTACATTTGATCAAAAGGTAAGGAGGCTTCCTTTTAATTATATTTCACAATCAATTTTAAAAAATTTAGAGAATAAAGTGAGGCTTTTTTAAACAGTCAAAAATAAAAATTGTTTCTATGAATACTCTCTGGTTACCAAGCTACTGGTGAATGTAAGTGTCATTAACTCCATTTCAAACTTAAAAAGACAAAGAAATATGAACTGCAATTACAAAGAGTCAATGAATTAATTTTAAAGCAATGTCGTGTAAACGACTTTCTTTCATGGAAAGTTTTCATGCATGATAATTTTGCTGCACGATAAAATCACTGAGGAGAATCTCAGAATCTAGAACTTGCTGTGGCTGGAAGAGGCTCTAAAGGAAACCAGGTGTCTAGACATCAGTGGGTAAGGCAAGCGCATCGGAAAAGATACAGATGGCATTTGCATTTGCATTTGCCCAGCTTTCTGCTTCTACTGATTGATCTGTCAGACAGCTTTTCAGATGTACTTCTGTCACTCCAGGTAAATTATTTACAACCTCATCTAGTCACACATGACCCTGAGGGGGGAGGGTTACATACGTACATATCTCTTTAATATTTCCTCCCGTTCTTTTTGGTCCTCCAGGGAGTTGACGGAGAGGTCAGAGATACTGACTGTGGCCGAAGCTGTCAGGGTGACCAGAAGCACCAGGTGTCCCTCACCCTCTTCCAGCTGCAATTCCAACTTGTGTGTCTGTTCCCTACTGAGGGCTGACAGGTCAACCTGGCACCTAGAAACAAATGTTTTGAATTAGCAAGTGGCTTTTCTTTTTTCTTTCTTCCTTTCTTTTTTTTTTTTTGCCACATCAAACAGTAGAAGTACAGGCTGCTCAGAGCTATGAAAACTATGAAAAGTAAATCAACAGAAATATTATTTGGACCACTGGAAAAATACATCTTTCATTTCAGCTGATTTTCTTCCCAAAATTCAGACCCTGATTATTTTGGTGTCTAATTGCTTATTTCCTGTAAAATACACACACACACACACACACACACAAAATGCTTATCTGATTCAATTACTAACCCATTGTTACCCATAAATCGGCAGGGACTTCCAATTCCCCTAAGTCAGTGGTGTGCTTATAGAGACTACTGTGAGCTGTCTAAAGAGGCAAACTACTGAGAGTCTAAATTTTTGTGTCACTTTTAAACCAATGGGTGTTTTTTCCTCATTCATAAAAGTTATTAAGCAGTGAATAGAATATGTACTCTGGTGATGCCATAACTTTTTATTTTTAAAACCATGCCTATTTATTCACAGAACATCCATAAATTTAAATAAAAAACAAATCCTTGAAAACATTATAGCTCAATTGTTACATACCAGACTTGTCCTGAGAGGTTTCATAACGTGGCAGCCCATGCTTGACATGCCACTCTTCAGAGCTAAACACCTGGCAAACTTTTTTCATAAAAAATGTCAATTGATTTAGAAGAAAAAGATACTATGATAACCACAAGGCCAATAAACTGAAAGTAAGGGGGCAGGTATGAATAAAAGACATTTAAAACAGGAAACAGGCAAATGACAAGAATAAATGTGGTAACATACCGTAAACAGGGTGGTCAGCTATCAGGAGCAGATTAAATTTTTGTTCCTTCTTCACCCTACTTATTGTTTATTATTTTGCTTTTAAATTAAACTCCTATGAAAAGGGCCTGAAAACTAATAGTTGGGCTCAAACATCTCTGTAGTGCGAGTGATTTTAAGAATTGAACCAAAGTCTGACATTTACCTTTTCTTTTCACCTTTCAAAAGTGACATGAGAGATGGCTGGGACTAGAAACAGTTGGGAGGAAGAGGAATATAGATGCAAGAAATTAAAAAGAAACGCCCTGGTCAATGACAGAAAAATGTGTGTGTGCTAAATGCTAACTCTTGAGTAGAAAATGACAGTTTGTGCCCAGTCTGGAAAACATCTTCTTAAAGTTAGAATGTATATCAAATAGCCTCATTGTTTCTGTGAACACAACATCTATTTCAAAGTACTCTCATGCTGCCTCCTTAAACTCTAAAAGATAAAAAACTGTATCGAATGCCTTATCTAATATTCTAATTTTAATTGGAATTAAGTTCTTGTCAACAACCCCTGGAACAAACTGAGGGTAAAAAAATGCAGCGATGAAACACAACCAATCAAATGCATTCTCTAGTAAAAAGGAAAAACATCAATATGATTTTCTACAGCTCTTTCCAGCAACTGACGCGGTGTCTACTCTGTAGTTTGTTGACTGTGAATGAATCTTTGGATTACATTGAGAGTACGATATTAGAGAATTGAATAGAGATTACTATTCAGATAGTACTTTTGGTTGGATAAACTTGGGACCAAGAGGATCTTTCACTTACTTCTATCATATGCATTTCCTAGTCCTGTCTGTCCTTGCCTTGTTCCTTTGCATGACACTGCATCACTCTTAAAACACCAAAACACATCGAGGCTTTCTGGAGGATTTCCTTTTATGCTTATTACCATTTCACACTGATCATATAGATGCTGGGCTACTCCACATGCATATTAGAGTCATTGCATTTAATGCTTTAGAGTTGAGGAAGGTGTTTGAAAGATGATCTGGTCCAGGCATTGCAAATTGGCAACTTTCAGATCAAATCTGGCCCATCGATTTGTTGATTTTCCTTGTAGTGTTAAAAAAAAAAAAAGTTTTGAATTTAAATAATTTTAAAGACAGTGCAAATATCTTCTGACTTAGTTACTGCCCCCAATACAGTCTATTACTTACAGCTGGCCTATTTCACTTAATTCTCTACCTGGTTCCAATAGGCATAAGGATTTCTGTGTTAGATGCCTGCCCTCAAGGCATCTCAGAATATTGACAGAGAAAGATAACCACAGGTTATTTCAATGAGAATAGGCAAAAATTAGCCAAGCAAAGTTAGGTAGATACATCATCTCAGGCAGAGGGGTTGCCTTGTCCAAACACAAAGAAACAGTTGAGCCCTAGCATGGATGGTAAAAGTATTACAAGCTGTCTGGAATAACGTAAGCAGTAACTGTGAGTCAGCAAGTGACACAGAAGCTGATGGTAGGTTGTGGAGGGCACTGTTGCCTTGTTAAAGATATTTCACAGGTGATGAGGAGCCAGGGGACAGGCACCGTCAGGTTTGTGTTTTAGGCATATGTATAAAGGGGTTGAATTTTATCAATGGTTTTTGCCTTAGCCCAGTTTCCCTAGGAAACAGAGCTTGAGGCAATGATTAAGTGCTGATGCTTTACTGAGAAGTATAATCCCAGGCACTGAGAATGAGAGAGAAAGAATTTGAGGCAGAGAACACTAGGAAACAATGCTAGGTGATAGGTTACTGTGCTGGCCACTGTTTCCTGTGTTTCAGTGACACAGCTGATTGCTCAGCAGGTGCACCTGGAATATGGTTGGTCCTCTGAAAGTATTAAAGTACTTATGAACAAGGAGGTAGAGGTTCAGAGAGGCTGAAATTTACCCATGGGGACAGTGACAGGGCAAAACTAGCGTGTAATGTGCTTGTTCCACCACTTCTATATTATCTCCCTAGAAAATGGGTTTGATTTCTTTCCAACACTCATTTCACTCACTCACTCATTCATTCATTCATTAAGTATTAATTAAGTACCTTATGTGTCAGGTCTCTGTTAGATTTAGGGAATTCAGTCCTTTCTAAGCTTTTGTTTTTCATATTCTTATTTTCAGAACTACCACAGACTCAGTGTGTTATAATTTTATTATTGCATATGCCTTACTAGTTTAATATTGGAAAATTAAAAACTTACTACCTATACTGAACCCAACTCATTAATCAATCAACCAATAGAAGAATCAAAACAAACTTAAAACTGAAGATTCCAGAGCTACTGTAATCTGTAATCACAAAAGGGGAAATTGAGGCTCAAAGAAATTAAGTGATGCCAAGAACTCAAACCACATTTCCTGACTTCTATATTAAAGCTTGAAGTTCTTCACACTTTTAAAAAACTATATGTATTTACTTAGCCACATGAAAGAAATATGTCACATTTATTCGGTGACATTTCCCCCTAAGAGTTCAAGGAGAAAAACTTCAGAGTTTCTATCACTTTTTTTTCCTCCCCTGCCTTTCTATCTGCCATGCCTGAAACCATGACCAATAATATTCCTACCAGATAAAACGATCTCGTGATTAGCACCCTAGATGTATGTATATGCGAGTCTACTGGGGTGCAGAAGCAAATGTTAGGACTATTTGGATTTTTTAAAAAAATAAATATAGGACAGAAGCACAGTGTTACAAATATTTTATATATTCATTAACACGGGTGGTCCATATATCAGACATGTCACATGTGGCCTGCAAGTATTCTGAAGGGAGAGTAGGAGCTGCCTGACATGAAGGGTTTGACAGTGGCCCTCTTACTTGCTGACTTGCTTTCCCTGAATTGCAATTCATATATGTCCCATTAAGTGGATTTCCGGATTATCTAATCTAGTTTTAACTGAACTAATGCTCACAAAATGGACAACTGGCTTTAAAAGATCCAAGTAAAGAATTGTGGATTAAAGATAATGCTAACTGAACAAGAACAAGTGAACAGAATGATAAACAGGAATATGTAGAGCAGATACATCTACTCTTAGTTGAGATCTGTGTCAGCCACATTTTGATTTATACACCAATGGTGCTACAATCAGACCTAGCAAGAATTCAGCCAAAACAATTCAAAATTATTAAGAAAAAATATTTGCAACAGAAATTTACATCTATTCTCTTTCACAATGAAGTTCTAAGTGTATGTTGTGTCTTGAAGTATTAGCTAATGATATTATGAAGCCACCATGTTAGTAAGACATTTAAAAATGAAACCTTCGGAATAGAAATTTATAGAATTTCTTCGGTGGGAGTAATTTTTAAAAACATACTTTACATAATTTTGACCAAATTTAACAGCTATGAAGCTTTTTGAGATTTCTTAATATATGGAAACTAGTTTGCATTAGTAAAACTAATGATACATAATATATTATAAAATCTTATATTATAAATCAATATAATACCTAATTCCTTGGAATCTTTGCATTATAAAGAATTCAATATGTAACCGCTAAACTGCTTTCAAATTTCATGATTATACAGCTTTTTAACATCACCTCTGATACTACAAAATGCTAATGTTGTTATTACCTTCCTGTTGTCAGAAGTTGTCACTGTTCAATTGTCTTTCGGGAATTGCTTTATTAGGACATACTTCTGTAAACCTGTGATACTTCCATTCATTGACTCAAAGATAAACTAATATACACATGGTAGTACATGGAAACTGTCTTTGGAAACTTTGCTCATTGTGTAAGAAATACTGCAGTTAAGCATAAACTTTCTGAGAAAATCTTCAGAAGAAAAAATAGTAACACATGAAAGAAAATGAAATAAAATCTTAATATACTTGGCTTAAGTTGAATTTTTGAAAAACCAAGAGAAGAATCAATGATATATTTCGTTCTTAAAAATTGTCTATCTTCTCAATAAAATATTTCACTCAATCCTTAGTAAAAAAAAAAAAAGTAAAATATAATGATTTCATAAAAAAAATACTCTCCTCAGTATAGAATTTTCTGACGAACTATCTTTGTGCTTTCAAATTAATAATGCAGCAGGATTGCTCCTGCCCTTATTTATAGAGGAAGTAAAAGAATCATTGTAATATTTGTGTCACAAATAAGAAACTCTGCACATTGGAATCTTTAGAAAGTCAAATACTCA